TGTACTGGAGCGAGGAGGCAGCGCACAGTGGAACGCGGGGCAGTGACCTGGAGCGTCCCGGCGGCGTGCCTTCGCCTGAGAGGCCTACAGGGAAAGCCCGGGCGCTGGGCGTGGAGCCAGGCTTGCCTAGCCCTTCCCTGCCCGGCAGGCTCACCTGGGAGCTGTAGCAACAGGGCAAACGTGCCAGTCCTCAGGCCCACCCCTGCCTGTCACAATCATACGAGTGGACTAATGAATCTGATCGCTGGGTGTGGCGTCCAGTCTCTTCCAGGCTGGCCAGGTGCTCCTCAGGGGCAGCTGGGCTGGGGAACCCCGGAGTCAGAACAAAGAGGTGCGGGAACTGCCAGAGACGGGGGAGAGACAGGCGATTTTGCCGCTGCCAGGCCGAGTGCCTGGGTGGAGCAGGGTGCCAGCAGTAGGGAGGGGTGGAGGCTGGCGTTGGAGCCGGGGACAGGCCCCGTTGTCCCAGGTACAGTCCAGATGAAGAAGGACGGCCCCGGACGTGGACATCTTGCAGCAGCCGAGGTACATGGGGCTCAGGGGCTGAGGGGCCAGGCCTGGCGGTCCCTTAGGCAGACTGTGGGGATGAGGCAGAGAGGGGGCAGCTTGCCGGGAGCCCTGGAACACTGTGGGTTCCCAGACTGAGGAAGCATTGAGGCTGGGGACGAGGGCGGTGGCCCAGGAAGATGGAGAGCTCCGCTGACATCTCTGGTGAAAAGTAGGGGGAAAGGGGGAGGAATACACACACGCACACAGGCGTGTGCACAGATGTGTGTGTGTGTGTATAAATATACCACATTAATATCACCGGCAGGGTATGCAAGAAGCTGATGTCATGGCTGTGTCTAGGGAAGAGGAATGGGGCGTCTGGGATACAGAGGTGATGAAAAGGAGACATTTCTGGGGACCCTTTTTTTGCCTTTTGAGCTCTTGAAACCACGTGACTGCGGTACTCATGAGCAGCCACGATGGAAGGGGCCACGCCAGTCTCTGGGCTGGGCCCAGCGCACGCTGTGCTGTGGGCGCTGCCGCCTCCAGGGCCCCGACAAGCGAGCAGCCCTGACCAGTGAGCCAGGCAGGCGCTGGGCCAGGGGTGTGCGTGAGCCCGTAGAGAAGAGGAGGGCGCCCCGGCGAGTCCTGGAGGCCCGGGCAGGGAGGTCTGGGGTGGGGCTCCTTGGGGCCACCGCAGGAGCGAGGCTCCCGAGCAGGATGACGGGGCAGCCCAGCCCTGGAGCCAGAGGACTGGGTCCAGGTCCCAGCTCACGGCTCGGTGGGGCGGTCGGAGGGCAAGTTCCTCAGCCTGTCTGCTTCCTCAGCGGCAAGATGCGGTGGACCACCCGGGCTCCGTCCCAGTTGTCAGGGACGGCGCTGGGCTGGGGAGCGCCATGGGAGCAGCGGTATCAGCGCTCTCGTCCCTCCTGAAGGCAACCCTGCTCTTGGGCAGGGGGAACCCGGAGACCCAGAGCCACCTGGTGTCTCGCGGTCCCATCTGGCTGTGGCACGGGCAGGTGCCGGGCAGTACTGGGGGACAAGGGCGTGTGTTTCCGTCACAAACCCGCTCGGGCTGGGCGCTCAGCAGCAGCTCGTGGGGTCAAAAACCATCTTCGTGACACCCAGTCAAATGCCATGAAACCCCTTGTTCCCTGTGGGAGGGAGTGACTCGGCCATAGCGCCGAGGCCATGACAGGAAGCCGTTGCTCTGTTGCCGGGGAGCGCCCCGAGCAGGGTGTGAGCCTTGTCTCTGGGGGCACAGCCCGTTTCCACTTCTTGCAGTCACATTCTGATGTCCAGAAAGGACACTGAGCTTCCTAAGGTCTGGCCGCGGGTTCGTTCTCTGTTGCCACTATGGTCGGGACCTTGTTGAAATCATGCACCGTCACTCCTGGAATCCTGAAAGGTCCTCTTGAAGCTCAAGGAACAGCAGGCATTCAGTACTGAAGGTGCCTGACTCAGCTCATCTTAGGACACAGGCCAGCCTTTGTCTGCCTGTCTCTCTCTCGTCTTCCCGTCCTCACTCCCCGATTCTTTCCTTCTCTTCCATGGGTCAGGCATTGCTCCCACAAAGATGACAGCAGGTGGGCTTCATCCCCAAGAAGCACAAAGTGTTGAAAGGAAGACAGGCACATTCACCTGTAATTCAGGTATTGATGAGAGCTGTGAGAGCCCAGGACCTCCACTAGTTCTGCCAGAGGCAGTCAGGAAAAGCTTCAAAGAGGAGGTGATGTTTGCACTGGGTTTTGAGGTATACACAGGAGTTCATCAGAAAATGAGCAGGAGGGAGGAAATTCCCGGGCAAACACCACGGGCCGGAGGAGATCATGGTGCTTTTGAAGAGTAGCAAGTTCGCTGCAGTTGGAGTGTTCAGAACAGCATGGGAAAAGATTTTCCAGCCAATGGTAGGAAACCAACAAAGATATTTCAACACGCAAATGACAACCAGAGCTATGTCCCTCTCAGCCTGCCTCCGTTTCAGAACCATTTGCTTCTTTCTAGTTGGAACTCAACAAACTACCCAGGGCCCTCCCACCAGGACCAGGTTTCTAGCCTGAGAGCAGTGCCCAGGTTCAGGATTGGTAGAACTGTCATGATTGACATCTGTTACGTCAATGAACGCCAGCATAAGTAATCCTTCCACTCCTTTCTGGAATCTTCTGGGAGGATCTTTAAAAAAAACCAAACAAAACCCACCCAGGAGGGGGGAGGTGCAGAAGTTCTGTACCAGCAGGACTATGGTTACAGTAGTCCCCCCATATCTGCAGAGGATATGTTCCAAGACCCCGCAGTGGGTACCTAAAACTGTGCATAGAACTGGACCTTATGCACACCATGGTGTTTTCCTGTATATGCACACGTTTTCACTTAGAACAACCACTGTACAGCTCTCTTTGGCACATCTGAATTGCCAGCACCGCTACTCTCGCACTCTGGGGCCACCCTTAAGTAAAATAAGGGTGATGTGAACGCAGGCATGTGCTGCTTCAACAGTCGAGCTGATAGCCGAGGGGGCTACAAGTGACAGACCGTCCGGTAGCACGGACAGTGGATCGCTGGACAGAGGGATGAGTCATCCCAGGCCGGACGGTGTGACATTTCATCACACTACCCAGCATGGCGCACGACTTAAAACTTATGAATCATTTATTTCTGGAATTTTCCATTTAATATTTTTGGACTGCTGTTGACCATAGGTCCCTGAAACTGTGGAAAGCAAAACCGCCAATCAGGGAGGACTACTGTGTTTTTCTCTTTTTTATCCTCTTCAAAGTCCTGTTAGAGCAAGTTGAAACCTCTACTTTCTTAATCACAATGCCTGAATCCAAATAGCCCTGAAAAACAAAGGTGTTTTGTTTTCTTGCTCCGGGAACTCATTTTGTGGCAAAATGACCTGAACAGATATGAGGCTATTTATAGTCTTTATTGATTCACTTGGTGTGAATATTCATAGTGTGCGGCAGGAACCCGAATGGGTTTGATTACGGGTTTGTCCCAGACCCCGCTTGGGGCACTGTGTAATTAGGTGGCATATGCACTGTATTACCTGGCCACAGGACAATGAGAAACACAAGCCTGATTTCAAAACCAGCCTGGCCCCAGGGCAGCTGGGTAAGGAAGGGTGGGCTTGTGTTACTGTGCTTTCGGAATGAACAGGACCCGCTCCACTTCGGCCGTCTCGTTCTCCGTGCGTGCTCCGCTGTGACCGTTTTAAACCGCTTTGCCTGTCAGAACATTCAGCCTGCCTCTCCGGCCCCCCAGGCCCCCAGCAGGTGATCCTCGTCCTGCGTTACGGGCCAGCTGCGTCCGGAGACGGCATTCGGACGGCACCACGGCCTCCTGTGAGACGGTCTACGGTTTAGAAACTCCTCTGCCCCAGCCGGTGAGCTCAGTGGCTTTGAGCAAGCATTCCACCTTTGGGCCTGAGTCTACTCTTTCAAAATGTGAATAACGACCCCTGCCCCAACCCAGAATCCTCTGTCCTGCGAGGTCAGAGGCATTCTGTAGGACGAAGCGCTGCGAGGGGCCAGGTGTGAGCGGTGGCTGTGCGTTTGGTTCTCACAGTCGCTCGGGGAGGGAGACTCTGTTCTCGTTCCCACTTTTCCGTTGAGAAAACTGAGGCTCATAGAACAGGCGCAGCCACTTGCCTCAGCCTTCTCAGCTGATTAAAGCTGGGAGTCCGATGTAGAGAGATGGGGCGGCCTGACTCTAAAGCCCTGGGCTGGGCCCACGCCGTGGTCCCTGCTCTAACAAACAGTAAAAGGAGAACAGACGTGAAAACGCTTTGGAAATTGCTCCCTGCCTTCTAGAGGCTGTTGTGGTTCAGGTTCCTGCCAGGTCTGGGAGCAGATGGGGAACTGGGCAGGGGCTGGTCCTCTCCAGGAAGGATGAGTGGGGCGAGGTGGGGTTCCTCTGTGACGTGGAGCACGTAGGTGTGTGAATGAACATTGGGTCTTTTATTTCTGGGCAAGGGAACGTGAGTAGGCAGGAGGAAGACGTTGGTGTCTTTTTTTGTGGTCTGAGGTGGAGGGAGGCCTTGATGCTCTTAGTTCTCTTGTGCTGTTGTGCAGGCTGCACACTGAGTAACTCCAGGAGGGTGCCATTCACACTCTAGTCTAAGAGACTGGCCCTCCCTGGGGTCGTGCACCACCCGTTATACCTGATGGCCCCGGCGATGTTCCTTCCTGTGTTGGCCCTGTGGTAAGCAATGACAGCAGTTAAAATGAACGGACTCTGCGAGCACCCAGTGTTTATTTTCTCTTACCTAAGCCTGACGATGATGCTGTGAAGTTGATGCTCTTGGGATCTGTGTTTTACAGGCGGGGAAAGGGTTACAGAGGGATTAGGGGAAATGCCCTGGGGCACACGGCTTGTTCCCCTTGTGCCAAGGAGCCTCCGAACTCCACTTAGGCTGAGGGAAGGCAGGCCGTGGGGATGCCATGGCGCTTCACTGCAACCATCACTGTGTGTCTGTTTTCCTCCCCTGGCCACGGTCCCCTCCCACACAGCTGGACAAGATGCTGGACCCGCAGGTGTGGCGGGAGGCGGCCACGCAGGTCTTCTTCGCCCTGGGGCTGGGTTTCGGGGGCGTCATCGCCTTCTCCAGCTACAACAAGCAGGACAACAACTGCCACTTCGACGCCGCCCTCGTGTCCTTCATCAACTTCTTCACCTCGGTGCTGGCCACCCTCGTGGTGTTTGCTGTGCTGGGCTTCAAGGCCAACATCATGAATGAGAAATGCGTGGTCGAGTAGGTGGCACCTCTCCCTGGCCCCTCCTCCTCCCTGTCCACGCCACCCAGGGGAGCAGGCGGGCTGTGGATACGGAGGCCCTGTCTCCCCAGGCTGGAGGATGGAGCTCGGAGGAGCTCTCTATCTCTGGACCACAGGGACAGATCGACAGATGTCACTGTTGATGGCCGGGGGTGGGGATCCTGCCTGGGTGCCGGGGAGGTGCCCCCAGGATCGGGCTCACCTGCCTTTTTGCTGGGTCCCCGCCCCTTCCCGCTGCAGGAACGCCGAGAAAATCCTGGGGTACCTCCACAGCAACGTCCTGAGCCGGGACCTCATCCCTCCCCACGTCAATTTCTCCCACCTGACCACCAAGGACTACTCGGAGATGTACAAGGTCATCATGACCGTCAAGGAGGACCGTTTCTCAGCCCTGGGCCTCGATCCCTGCCTGCTGGAGGATGAGCTGAACAAGGTGTGGGACAGGCTGCCGTCCCCGGGACGGGCTGGGCGGCAGACAGGCCGCGGGGCTCATTCGTGCACTTGGTGAGCGAGGGCCTACTGTGTGTCCCGAGGGGGAGAGAGGAAAGGTATCAGCTCAGTCCCCTGCCCTGAGGTAGGGTGAGCCTTGGTGAGGGGACGAGGCTGACACATGCATCCCAGAAATTGCAGGGAGAGTGTGGGCGACTTTCATGTTTATTGCGTGGGTTTCCTGTGCACCGGTCACTGCCACATGTCACACACTCAGAACAGTGCCCTGTGCACGGCAAACAGAAAATAACTGTTTATATCAGCATCTGCCCTTTGCGCTCTGTCCCCTTTGGCCCTTGTGACAAAGTCCTGAGTTAATATTGTCTCAGTTTTACAGGTGAGCAGCTCCTAAGTGGCAGCTGGGTCAGAGTCTCACACCTAGTCAGTAGAGAAGCCGGGGTTCAAGCCCCCCCGGCTCTGAGTCACCCCTTGCTGCTTCTGCCACCTCCCCCGGCTGTCCCCACTGCCCACTCTGACTCCCGTGGCCACAAGGCCCCTCAGACCCTAGGGTAGGACAGGGGATGCCTCTCCCTCATTAACGCTCAGGCCCAAGTTCAGACACCTTGCCCTGTCCCTATTTGTACAACCAGAAGCTTTCGATGTGACTGTTCTGTGAGGAGGGCAACAGGAGAGAGATGTGCCCACAGGGTTTTGGGACCTGGCTGGTGGGGCCCACGGGGCCCGCGGGGACAGGGCCAGCTCCCTTCGCCCTTGTCCAGGAGGCAGGGAAGGTGACACTCTCTGTGAGACATCTGAGCTCCCTGTTAAGCTGGCTGCCGTCTCTGGGCGCCACCCTCACGCCGAGGGAGCTGTGTCCTGTGCCCCTGACCTGTTCCCATGTGAGCAAGGGCAAAGGGGCTCCTCCCGGGGACCCTGCCCCCTTCCCTCCCCAGGCGTCGGGCAGCATCTGGGACGTCCCCCTTCCCCGACACCCTGCCTGCTCTCACGGGTGTGGCTTGGGTCTCTGAATAAAACCAGGATTGTAGCGGTGTTCTCTCTGCTACCACCTTGATAACATCCACATGACAGGAATTGCACGCTCACACAATTGGGGAGCTGCCCCTGCAGCCTCCGGATGTTACACGACAGCGGACGAGTGATGTCAGTGGGCAGCGTGTGGCCGTCGCCCCATGAGCGGGGGCCCAAGCATCACAGCGCTGGTTCTCTACCTTGGCTGCCCACCGGAGTCAGCTGGGGGCTCTGTAACACCCTGGTGCCCAGCTTTACCTCCAGACCAGTCCAGTCATTGTCCCTGGGGTGAGACCCAGGCACGGGTGTTTCTAAAGGCTCCTCTGCGATCCCGTGGGGCAGCCGTGGCTGAGATCACGCTGTTGAGGACTGGAGATGAGAAGCAATCAGGGAAGACTTCCTAGAGGAGGAGTGTTTTGCACTGAGTGTGTTTCTAAAAGGGCATCTTCCTCTGAATTCCCTGGGGCCCTGGTACAGCTTGAGGATTCTAGGCCTCACAGCTGAACTCCTGAACCACTTGTTGTTTTACTCCCTTTGGGGGGATGGATTCTGATGCCCACTCAAATGTGAGCGCCATTGGCCAAAGAAGCTGGATGTAGGTGGGGGTGAGAACCCCTGGGAAAGAGGGAGGAGTCGGTCCTGAAGCCCTGAGGGCAGGGAGAGCAAAGCCAGCGGCTCCCAGGGTGGGCGTGGGCCCTCACGGAGCCCTCGCCCCGCCCCCTCCCCGCAGTCCGTGCAGGGCACCGGCCTGGCCTTCATCGCCTTCACTGAGGCCATGACGCACTTCCCCGCCTCCCCGTTCTGGTCCGTCATGTTCTTCCTGATGCTCATCAACCTGGGCCTGGGCAGCATGATCGGGACCATGGCCGGCATTACCACGCCCATCATCGACACCTTCAAGGTGCCCAAGGAGATGTTCACAGGTAACTCCTCCTGGCCTGTGGGCTGTCCTTGGGGACAATGACGGGGTTGTGGCTCGTAGAAACACTGGGCTCTGACCCAGTCGCTCCGGACCCACAGGGCTGGGCCTGCTGGAGGGAGGGGTGGGACGGGAGGGGCCTGGGTGCCCCCAAGACCCCCGGGCCCCGCCCACCCGCACCTCTGCCCCCACACCGGCCTCCCGGCTCTCTGTAGTGGGCTGCTGTGTCTTTGCATTCCTCGTGGGGCTGTTGTTCGTCCAGCGCTCCGGAAACTACTTTGTCACCATGTTTGATGACTACTCGGCCACCCTGCCGCTCACCCTCATTGTCATCCTTGAGAACATCGCTGTGGCCTGGATCTATGGAACCAAGAAGTAAGGGGGCCGTAGGGGAGAAGTGTGGACAGGGGGCGGGGTCTGTCCCACCTGCCCCCTCCCCGAGGGCACCGTATTCCCACAGCTGCTGTGAGGGGGCAGAGGATCACAGAGTCGGAATGTCAGAGCCGGAAGTTCAGGTCGTTTGGAGAACCCAGGGCTCAGAGGGAGGCATCATGGCGGGTGAGAGGCAGAGCCAGGCCGAGGACGGGAGCCTCCTGGGTCCAGGTCCTGACATCGCCCTACACTACCTGAAATCGCTGCACCTGTCCTGGGTACTGACTCCTCAGACTTCTTGAAGCTTAAGCACCCAGTGGGTGCACAAGGAGCCCCTGCCCCCCAAGTGCTCACAGGCTTCCACAGCCTAACCCGCGGCTTTGAGGCTATTTACAAAGGGGTGTGAGGCGGGGTGTGGTTGGGGCCTGAAGCTGCGGGTTGATGGGTAAGAGAATTCAGCTGTAAGAAAGGATGGGCTCTCGGGGCCTGAGCCGGGGGCAGACCTCTGCTCACCGTCAGCCCCGGCCTCGTTGCTCATTTAAGAACCAGCCTGTATCCCCAGAAAGCCCCAGGACCAGGTCCCGCCCCCTTGCTCAAGGCCCGGGCTCCGCCGACCCACTCAGCCTGACCCTCCCCTGACGTCGGACCTGGCCTCTGAATCAGGCTCGCTCCCTGTCCCGGATACAGCACCCACTTCCCGGGAGGGTGCAGGAGGGGCAGGGATGACATAGGGAGCCGTGCCGTGAGCCCAGGCTGGGACGCGCTGCTAGAAGGTTCTGACTCTTTAGCCCTTTCTCAGAATATTATTTTTAAATGCTTATGATAAAATATATAGTATCGTGTGGGCAACTCAATTTATTGAAAATTAGCCAAATGTTTTAAATCTGAGATGTTGTAGTATCTGTGTACTTTATTTTTACTGCATGACGTTGCAAGACCTAGCTATGGGTCTAATAACAATGGTAACTTTAAATTAGCAGTGAGAATCAATGGTATTTGTAGGTATCTTCGGCTGTAATGTGACAGGAAAGTGTCTGAGATTTAATCCATTGCTGGCGGAGTCCCAGGTAGTTAATACGACTCTGGTTGCTTGCATGTATAATAGAAAGAAGTGCAATATTTCAGTTAGGTATTATCGAGGTTAGGTATTAAAGATGATGTTTTAAATGCCACATCATGGACATGGCCTGCTAGCCCCCCAGAATTCCACCCACTGGTGGGGTAGTTAGAAACCCCTGAGTTAGGGCAGACTTCTGGACCCTAGGGAAGGTGCACTTCCACCCCTTTTCCAGCAGGGGGAGTCTAGAGCCAAGCCATGGAGGCGGGTGGCGCCCAGAACACAGAGCCCTCCGGTGTGCCCCTTGCGGTGTATCACATCCTTGGGTGGGGTGTGGCTTGCTGTAGTCAGAGCAGGTTAGAGGAAGGCAGCAGAACCTTCCCAGAGGCCAGCGGGGCCACAGATAATATACCAGGAGCCTTGAGTGTGAAGAATGGGAGAGCCTGGGAGGAATGGAGTGGTCAGGGAAGGCTTCCTGGAGGAGGAGGCTTTGGGGGACTGCACAGGTGCAGTGGGGGTACCAACTTCTGGGCCCTTCACTGCACCTGGCAGGTTCATGCAGGAGCTGACAGAGATGCTGGGCTTCCGGCCCTACCGCTTCTATTTCTACATGTGGAAGTTCGTGTCTCCGCTGTGCATGGCTGTGCTCACCACGGCCAGCATCATCCAGCTGGGAGTCACACCCCCAGGCTACAGCGCCTGGATCCGAGAGGAGGTGAGGGATGGCAGCCAGGGGCCTCAGGACCGAGGGTCCGGGAGGCCGACGCACCTGTCCGGTCTTCCTAACCCGTGTTTTGTTTCCATGTGGGGGAGTGGCATAATGCCTCCTTTTTCCAAGTGTAGGAACTGGGACGCAGGGGGCCAGCTAGCTCAAGCGGGGACCCCTGCTGGGGCCAGGGCAGCGGGGGGGGGGGGAAGGGCGGGAGGAGGGGGTCCAGGCAGGTGAGGCCGTGGCAGTGTTGGGCAGCAGCTCCCCGCCCCGTCTGCCCTAGGCTGCCGAGCGCTACCTGTACTTCCCTAACTGGGCCATGGCCCTCCTGATCACCCTCATCGTCGTGGCGACCCTGCCCATCCCTGTGGTCTTCATCCTGAGACACTTCCACCTGCTCTCCGATGGCTCCAACACGCTCTCCGTGTCCTACAAGAAGGGCCGCATGATGAAGGACATCTCCAACCTGGAGGAGAACGATGAGACCCGCTTCATCCTCAACAAGGTGCCCAGCGAGGCGCCCTCGCCCATGCCCACGCACCGCTCCTACCTGGGGCCTGGGAGCACGTCGCCCCTGGAGCCCAGCGGGGACCCCAATGGACGCTACGGGAGCGGCTACCTCCTGGCCAGCACCCCGGAGTCAGAGCTGTGACCCCCGGCGCCCCCTCCGCCCACCTCCCTCTGCACCCAGCCAGCCCCAGCCCCAGCCTGGCCGCCCCTCCCAAGAGAGGGGTCTGCCCTGACTCACCCCCCACCCCATCCGGTCCCAGCCAACTCTGCTCCCCAGGCCTGGGTGGGGGCCGCGCCATCCTACTCTCGGACATCTCCCCAGATGGTGGCCAAACAATTGGAATAATCCCGAAGTTCTGATTCTTGGCACCAGGGGAGACCCCAAGGGGCCCCTTTCGGGGTCCCTCCACCCTCGTTCTCTCCCCTTAACTTGCTACCCGCAGTTCTTAGGTCTCAGAGTCCCTCTGTGCTGCCAGGTGGTGGTGGCGGCAGCAGGCACTGGGGCGGGGTGGGGGGCACCTCAGAGGCTGCTGGTCGAAGGATGGGGACGGGACAGGTGCGCCAGCCGCTGGGGCTCAGGCTTGGGGTTGTATGAGGTGCAGTGCCCTGGCAGCAGGGGGCTAGGGGCTCCCCCACCCCCAGCTCGAGGGGCGCCCTCCGCTGTCCTAGGTTCTGCCTGGGAGGGTGATGACTCGGCTTGAACCGTCCTACCTCCATTAGGGCTTAGGCGTCTCCTGTCCGCTCCCACCCCTGGCCCCATCCTGAGCCCGGGGTGGCGGCCTCTGCTTTTCCTTGAGGTTCCCAGAGCACACTTGCCCACAGCACAGTTCGGATGGTTCGGAGCACAACTGCAAAGCACATCTGCCTCATCTCACTCGGGCCCCTGCTTTCTCTCTAGTGGCAGCTTCTCCCCTGGAACGAGGTCCCTGGACTTCAGGGGCCTACACCCGGGAAGCTCGGCACCTGGGCAAAGAGATAAGCCCACTGTCCCCTGGGGCTGCCCCTCACCCTCTGCCGTGGAGGCACAGCTCCCTGGGCTTGCATCAGGGACAGACCCCTCAGGAGCCTTTCCCAAGGCACCTGGCCCATATCCACCAGGGCCACAGGCAGCGCTGTGGACCCTGGGGGTTGCCAAGGAGAGGGGCTGGGTCTCCGTCCTGGGGCCAGCGCCCCCGGCATCCCCCAACCCCAACTCCGACCTTCTGGCTGACCCTGGAGTAGGGCTGGGAGGGTTAGAACCTCACTGGAGAGCGAGTGTCTGCAGAGGGGTGGATGGACCAATGGAAGGATGGGTGGATGGATGGGCGGATGGATGGATGGATGGATGGAGGGTAGGCAGGAAGGCAGACGGGCCGGGACAGCAGGCCTCTGAGAGCTGTGGTGGGGAGGGAAGGAACAGGCCACAGTGCCAGGCCTGGGCACCTTGACAGAGGGTCCTGAGTCACTTGGGGTGGGATCAGACTAGGCCCAGGGTTCCCTCTGTCCTCCCTTAGTCCCTTGCCCTTCGCTGGGGGTCCATCCCCCATCCCGCCATCTTTCTGACTCGCCCGTCCTCCCTCCTCCCATTTCTGGCCCTCTCAGCCCCACCCGCCCTTCCGGAGCATGACGGGACCGGGCCTCCCTGGAGAAGGAGCCTTTGGAGCACAACACCCCGCCTCAGGCGCCCTCACCCAACACCACCTCCTAGTGGCCCCAAGCCTAGTCCCAGCCAATTTAGCACCAGGAAAAGCAAGGCCCCAGGAGGGACACTCTGCTATATATACTCCTCTGTGTATCCTATTTCTCTTGTATAGTCAATCTGTATATGTGGGTGTAAATGCTGTTAAATGACAAACCCAATATTATCCTGTGGCTGGTGGACTATTTCCATCCTCAGTGCTGTACAGATCTATTTTCATTGTATATTTGATATATTTTTAATTTTGTAGCTTGTGGCTGGGCCAGGCCCCAGCCCACCAGCCCACCAGCCCGCGACCGGGACTCGGGGGCACCTGCTTGGTCGCTGCGGGCTGGGGAGCACTCCGAGCCTCTCGCCGTCGGCTGTCCCGGCTGTCTGTGGTGTTGGTAGCGGTAGGGCCCAGAGCTTGATGCGCGTGTGTGTGTGTACGTGTGTGGTGTGTGCACATATGTGGGTGTGGCTGTGTGTAGGGTGTGGCTTGCGAACCCCAGTGTTCACCACGTTCCAGCAGACCCCGCTGCCCTCCCTGCCACCCCCTCCCCCTCTCAGCCAGGCCTCGGGGCCAGGCCTGCCGGAAGGTGGGCTTTTCTGGCCGGTGACTCATTGCCTTCACACCACTGGCTTGCCGAGGCTGGGAAGGAGGGACCTTGTGGGGGCGGGAAAGCCCCACGTTGATTTTTCCAGTCAACTTCTTGCTGTCTCCCCTGGAACCCCAAACTCTTCGTCCTGAGGAAAGCCCCGGGCTTCTGAAGGTGGTGAGGCCCAGGAAGCCACTTCACAGAGCCTGTGTCCGGCATTTGCTTTGTGACAGTCCCAACAGTGTTCAGGAGGGAACAGCTGACTGTCCCCCATGCGACCGGCATGCACACCTTTGCTCCCTCCTCAGGGGGGCTGCAAGTGGGGCAAGGCCAGGGCAGGTGGGGCCTCTGAGGAGGTAAGATCCAGCCCCAGGCTTCCTGGGGGAGCAGGAGGTGGCCCCACCTCCCTGCACGGGGTCCCCACCCCCCGGCTTTGGTGCTGTCCTGCAACGTCCGCAGGAGACAGAGCGGACTGCAGGGCAGGGCGTGCCCGAAGCGTCCCCGGAAGCGTCCCCTGCTCCCTGCCCTCCTGCCCAATCACCAGCTTCTCGCTCAGGGAGCTTTGTCGCTGAGGCAGCTTGAAGCCCGAGCCCCAGCCGGGGCTGGACAGGCGGGGCACTCAATTGATGCCAGTGAGGGTGGCTTTGCCCTCCAGCAATAAATCTGCAGGGACTGCTGCTGCCCTAGCGCCGGGAGAAGCCGCGAGGCTGGGGCGGGAGGCCGTGTGGGCCCAGCCCCGGGCAGGCCCGCAGTATCTCGGGCAGCGGGGAGGGGCGGCCCTTCCACCTGCCTCACGACTGCACCCCCGCCACTGCCCCCAGAGGCGGCCTCACGGCGGAGGAGAGGAGAGGCTGGCAGGTTGGAAGGCACCTGGCCACCTGAGCGTCCACTAGGCCCTGAAACTGGGGCCCGCTGCCCTTTCTGCGGGGCCGACGACTGGGGCTGGGGACCAGGCCCGGGCCCCTCCTCATCCCACGCACTGCTTCGTACAGACCCAAGGACACACAGCAAAAGCATCGCTAAGTTCCGGCGCAGGCTCAGAACAGCTCAAGTCCATGTGCCCATGGCTGGCCAGAGCCCCGAGTAGGGCAAGACCACTCAGCCCAGGGGAGGGGACGAGGTGTTGTCACCCTGGAGCCCTTCCTTCCTCTCTACTCCCCCCATGGTGTACAATAAAGTGTCTGTTCTTACCAACCACCTCTTGCCTTTCTGACCTGCCTGGGATCGGTGGCAGGGGGCGGGAGGGGGGAGGGGATGGAGGGAATGTTGGGATAAAAGCTTAGATGGGATGCGGTGGGACCTGTGGGTGTAGCTGGCCGGCTGCGGACTTACGGAGGATGAGGAGGGACATGTACTTATTCTCCTAGGGACTGTCCTTGCAGCAGGACTTCCTGGGCTCTGAGTGCCCAACACTTCCCATCACGTGTGACCTTCGCCACAGCAGCTCTCGGGGGAATATACAGCTGACCCTTGGGCAACACGAGCTTGCACTGCATGGCAGCACTGACACGTGGGGTTTTTTTCAATAAATATACAGCTGGCCGGCCATATCCACGGTTTTCACATCTATATGTTCAACCAACTCTGGGTGGAAGACAGAATTTCCAATCTGCAGCCGGGAAGCCTGACTCTCTGCTCTTCTATGGCATCTGACATACGGAACCTGATTGTATATAGGTTTTTGACTGCGTTGTTCAAGGGTCAGCTTGCTGTCAGGTTTTTGGGATTCAACGTAAGGACGGTGTTTGGTGTCCACTTGCGGGGCCTTGAGGGGGACGCTCCTGCCCTGCCTTACTGCCAGGAAGAGCTACACCTGTCAGCTCTGCAAGGTTGGTGTGTGGAGGCCCACCGCAGGGAAGGACGGGGGCGGGGCGGGGGGCGGGGGCACGGCGCTCGGAGGCCTGGGAGCCAGGCAGGGGCCAGCGGGGGACTGGCGAGTTTGTGGGAGCAAGCCGCATTCTAAGCTGTAAGGGAGCGGCCCCTCTCGTCAAGTACAAGGTGAAGATGAAATACGGGATTTGTCATTACCCACTTTTCTCAAATTTCAATCCCGAGCAGTGAGCACCCAAGGAGTTGGTTGGAGGGGGAGGTGCTTCTTCTTGCTGCGCCCTCAAGGATCCCCGACAGGACAGCGGCTGAAGCAGGAGGTTTGACGCTCGGGGGAGGGGGAGGGGAAGGGCCGGCTCCCACCGCGCCCCTCTCAGGCCTGGAATGAAGCTGTCTGAGCACGACACACACAGCCCAGTCCCCCATGGAACTTCCTCTTCCTTCTCTGGCCAGAGAAGACAGTGCTGTTCCAGGAATCGCCAGCAGATGGCAGGAAAACCTTTCTATCCAGACCTTGGTCCACTCCCCCTCCATCACTAACTGCCTTTGTGGATTAATTTATTCGTTGCACAAATATTTATTAAGCATCCACTGTGACAGGCTCTGTGCCAGCTAAGGACACTCAAATATAAACAAATCACCCCCCACTGTTCTGAGTGGGGAAGGCAGGGAAGGGAACCCCTCCACCTTCGCTCCCGACTCGAAGTCTCCCCATAAACCTCCTGAACACGGAATGTCTTGGTCCTGGAAATCTCACGCCTCGAAAATTTATCCAACCCTTTGGTCTAAGGTAATGTTTTTGGTTGAAGTGTTAACCCTCCTGTCAGAGGACACACACACATGCCTTAAGAAGCAGTAAAACAAGGGCTCGGTTTTGAGGGAGCCAGGAAGCCAGACTTTCCAAGTTCAAGTTCAAATGCCAGCCCGGCCTATTGCTTCCTGGGAGCTCTAGAGCAAGTTATTTAATGCCTCTGTGCTTACATTTCCTAGTCTGTAAAATAGATACAATGAAAGGATTGAAACTAGACGATGCATATTGTGAGGTATCAAGTTACCCCAAACCTTAGTGGCTTAACACAGCCGTTTTATTATGTCTCATGGTGTCTTGAGGGAGGGAGTCAGGCAGAGCTTGTGAGTGACTCTCCTGGTGGCAACTGAGGTCACTCAGGGTGTTCGACTGGCAGGGGAGCTGGTCGGATGGATCCAAGGCAGCCTCGTCATGTTCATCCAAACGGCCGGCACGTCAGCAGAACGGCTGCAAGGCTGGGCTCAGCGGGTCTCCAGGGGAGCGTCTACTGCTGACCACTCTAGCGTCACTCATCTCTGGGTGGCGGTACTTCTTCCATGGTGGCTCAGAGAGACCATTTCAAGGGACAGGAGGTGGAAGCTGCCACTTCTTGAGACCTGGGCCTCAAAAAAGGCTGTGCCACTTCTGCTGTATTCTAGGGGTCACGGCATCTGCCTAAGGTTAATGAGAAGGACTTGTTGGTGGGAAGGAAGGGGCCGAAGAACTGGCGGCTGCCCGTGTAATGGGTCTATTCCAGGGGCTGAGGGACCTCCAGTCATCTGCCGCTGTGAGGGTACTTTCTCCTCAGGGGGTGTCAGCTTAGAGGCATAGGACAGGGCTGAGTTTGGGTCCTGGGTGGAGGGAACAGACAGGGAGGAAGTGAAGGACAAGGGGCGGACAGGAGAGACAGCTTCCTCTGCCCCATGTGTGCCAGAAGTGGGTGGCGTGAAGTAGGTTTGAACCATAGCTTTGTCCCCAACCGCACGACTTTTGCTAAGCCACTTATCTCTCTGACCCTGTTTTCTAATGTAAAAGGAGAATGACAAAAAATCTCTTTCTTGCACAGATGGTGTGAGGAAAATTAAAAAAAAAAAACCCTCCTGGAATACCTACTGGAATACAGTATAGATTTTTTTCCAGATGGAACAGAATAGGTGCTTATTAAATATTAGCTTCCTTCTTGTGACCAACTGTAAGTCCTTGGCCTGCTTCATTCTGGAGGCCCCATGGCCCACACAATGAGACTTGTCCCAGAGCTATTCAGGAAGGACAGTGTCAGCCGAAAACCCAAGGAAGCCCCGGAAGGAGGCAAGAGAAGGCACGTTTCCAGGAAAGGAAGTATCAGATCGTGGGGGTCTTGCTGTTACTGCATGTCCTCCTTGAATCAGGGAGGAAAAATGCCTGCTTTGACCAGCACGTATGACAGAAGTGGTACTCTGTGACTTTCGAGTTGTTCTGTGGTCCTGACCCAGCTGCTATGTAAAAAGCCCAGCTGCCCTGAGACTTCCCGTGTCTGCGGGTGACAATTTCAACCCAAGCCAACCTCCAGCATCAACGGCCAGCCCGGTGACCGTGCCCTGGCGGACGAGCCCTGGTGAGCGGGCAGCCCGGCTGGCCTTCGGGCGTTCCCACGCCCCGCTGCGGGGCCCTAAACAAGAACTGTCCAACTCAGCCCTTTCTAACTCCCTGACCCATAGAATCATGAACCAAATAAAACGCCTGTGGGGTTTATACCACTAAATTGCAGAACTCATTGGCCTCAGAGCAGTAGTAACCACAGGAAACTTAGTGATTATATGGCCCAACATCCTCGTAGGACTGTTGGGGACACTGAGGCCCAGAGGAGGGAAGGGTTCTACCCAGAATTCCCACAATCAAGCAGGGGGGAAAACGGTCCAAGCTTGGGTTTCTTGACTCTCAGGCCAGTGCACCCTCTGGGACAGCAAGCTGCCAACAGGATGGGTTCCCCCCTTCTTTCCCAGACCCTCCCCCACCACGTCCAATTATCGGGCATGAACTGAGTGTTCTGAGGGCCCAGGATTGCGCTCATCACTGAGGATACACAAAGAAGGATCGGGCAGGGCCCCTGCCTCACGGAGGACCTGACTCGGAACGTCCCGCCGCCCCCACGGCAGCTGGTGCCAGGCGCGCCATTGTGTTCTTTACTTACATTTTCTTACGTAGGAAGAAGCCCGGGGAGTGAGGAGATTACGTCTGTCCCTCAACAACAAACAAACTATTGTTAGGGTTATGCCGTGCCAGGCAAGGAGCCGCGGAGCAGGGAGCCAGTCTGATCCCCCTGTGGCTCCCTGGGTCGCAGCGGGCTGGGTGCTGGGTCTCCGATCTTCCCAGGCGGACCCAAGCAGGGAGGGTCCCTGGGCTTCATGAGCACCTAAGAGGAGCCCAAGTGTGGTCTGCCTCTCCAGACAACTGCTTCCCCTCCCCCAGGACACTGCTGGAGGGGACCGGGTCCATCAGGACTAATTAACTACACTGATGAAATGAGCCAGTTTTGCTGGAATTTAGCCCAGGTGGGAGGAATCTGTACTTTTCAAGATGGAGACATGCCGAGTGCCAGGGCGTCTTGCCAGCCGGGCCCTGCGCTGACGGACTCAACGCGGGTGTTCTCTGGGCGTAGGCCGGGTGTCTACCGCAGCCGCCTTGAGCGAAGAGGGTTCTGGGGGTCCACTCAGCTGGCCCTGGCCTAGTGATTCCCGTGAACCCTGTCCTCCCTGCAGAGGCCAGGTGGCTCCTGGGTCGTTCTCTGCCCTCGACCCAGGCCCAGCTCAGTCTCCCAGAACTCACTGCTTGCTGCTCCTTAGGCCTGAAATCTCTCGAGGAGAGCGTGCCTGTGAGCTGGCACTCCGGTCCCTCCCGGCCCTTTGATTCCAAGTCCACGGTTCACCAGCTCTGAGTCCTGGCCAGGCCAGAGCTTGTGGCCCACACCCTTCGGGTCCTTTCCCTCTTGGAGCTGCGCCATCCAAGGCCATACTAGGAGTTCCCCAGAGCCCAGAATACACCTTCACGAAAATTTTCACAGCAACCCAAACCCCGCAGAGCCGTTCTAGCTGGCCTCCATGCTGGGTCCCCTCAGGCCCCTCTTGGGAAGGCTCTCAGCTTTGACCTGGAGCCTGCAAGTCTCTGCACGCACCGGTGGGGGGTGGGGGATGGAGGTGGGAGGCAGGGTTAAATGAACTGATAAGCAGCCCAGGGGCTTGCAGCTGCCTCTCACCCTCCCTTCCCTTCTCCTTCCTTGAGGGGAAGAGCCCTATCACCTTCCCCTCAGTGTTGATGGCTGATAAAGCAATTCAATTAACTGGGCGGGGAACAAGGCCGGCTGGGAAAGGGTGCTGGCTCCTGGACCCGAACCCGAGGGAGAAGTGGGTGGCCCCTGGCCGGAGCGAGAACGCCGAAACAGGGAGGCGTGGGTAGCAAAGGCTGGGGCCTAAGCTTGGCAGCCAAGGGGCCTGCTACCAGGCCTGGAGCGCCCCCGCACAAGCAGAGTCCAAAGGAGAGATCGGATGGCTCCTGTCACCCCGGAGTGGCCGAGCCCCATCCCAGGCTCCCATGGGGAGAGGAAAAGGGGGAATGGCTTCGATGTCAGGCTCTCAAGCTTCCGCCTGGCAGGACCTGCCACAGCTCTGAGAACAAAGACCCTATCTGCGGGGCTGTAGAAAAGCTGCAGCTGCTCGGGAGGCCCCGTGTGTCACTCTGGACTCTACTGTGCTCCTCCGAGTCTCTTGCCGTCCTTGGATTCCCGGTGAGGGACGCTGGCGGTGGCTGACACTTCAGCCTGAACTGGCGCCTAGACAGACGTTCACTCCTGATAGCCAGAAGATACCACAGCACCAAGGGGACGAAGGTGGAGAAGTGACAGCGGAAGGAAAGAAACCTGTAGAATTAGGGACTTCCAACTGGGAGTGCTTCACAGTTCTGCTTAAGCCTGCCGGTTATCAAGGTCTTGGGGGAATGGAAAAGGGAAGGAGCAGGCGGAGTCCCAGATGGTAGGGTTATGCTCGCAGCGATACCCGAGGTCCTGGAACTGACAGGAAGTCCAGAATCAGTTGCCACCTCACCGGTTGGCCCTCTTTTCTCTTGATCACCACAGCCCGGAGCTGAAGCAAAGTGTTACACAGGGTCTCCCAGAACCACCAGGGGGCAGCACCCACCTGTCTACAATAGACTCACTGCGGGTTAGGCAGGGGGCTCTCCTCCACTTCTGGGTTCTGCGCTTTGGGGAAACAGCATGACCTCATACGCACAGAACGGATGGGAGACGAGCCCTATGATGCCATCTGCGGCATACTGAATGCCCCCGAAAATCCCTAAAGAAAGGAATTAGCCCAGGGCTCAGAATAAAACCTTCATGCTGCGCTGAGGGCTTCTCTGGAGGCCAGTGGCCTGAGGCTGAGCTCCCCGGTTCAGGGGCTTGTCAGTGTCCTGAGTCCGGGGCCCTACCGCCCCGGGGCACCTTTATCCCGCTGTGCCTCCCAGGCTGGGCCCTCCGATTCCCTTGGCTCTTCCTGGGTTCCCGTACCCTCAACCCCAGCTTTCTGACCTGCTCTCCAGGCCTCCTTTACTCTGGGCAGCTTTCTTCCTCCACCCATCTCCCCACTTGCGTATCACCACCCACAAATGCCGCAGAATGGAAGCACCAAGAGGGCAGAGGGTCACTAGGGTGAGGATGGGGTGGGCTGTGTTACTGATTGCGGTCCAGTGCCCGGAACAGCTTCTGGCACATAGTAGGAGTCAAGAAATACTAACCGGATGGACAAATGACTCAGAAGCAGGGTGGGTTTTCACCTCTCCCACCAGCCTCTCCCTTTCTTGGCACGGCTGAGGTCAAGCAGCCCGAAGAACAGAAAGGCAGGTGGGGACGGGCCGCGGGGGAGTCTGCCGGTGCACAGCCACATGGGACTTTCCAGCTCTTCCTGACGGCGGGTTCATTAATATTCTCGCTATGGTTCTTCCTTCCTCACTCCAGCTTATGGCCGGGCCTGGGTCTTCTCTTCCCAGTCACTTTCGGGATTTTTCTTTTTTCCCTCAGCAAACTCAAAGCCAACTAAACTCTCAAGTACAGATGTCGGGCCCGAGGGGAGTGAGGCGCCAGGAAACCTGTCTCTGACTGCAATCCAGATGTACCCCCTCCTCTGCATATGAGCACAGATCACCAAAGATCGTCGTGATTTTGGTTTTCTGACTTCATCATTAATGTGACTTTTAAGAATCCCTTGAATCTGCACGGGGCTTTTCGTCTTTCCCCGGAACGCCCCCCGGCCCTTGTCTCGTTTGTCCGGTACTGTCACGTACGCCTGGTCTGGGAACCGGGTGGTGCACAGGTGTCCGGGGCCGGCGTGTCAGTCACTTTGCACTTCTGCCTTAAGGTCCTCCTTACATCATCCAGATGGGCACGGAGGCTGCCTGCGACTATAAAATAATAAAATAAAATAAAGCTAAAAATGAGGCTTAATTGAAAGATGTAGAAGAGGCTCTGGCCTTAAAAACAAATGAAACTGGAAACTGCTTTTGGGATGAGGCCAGTGGAGCCCGCCGGTGCCTAATGCTTTGGGCATGGCAGCCTCTCAGTCACTTAGCAAACAAGTTCTCAGAGGCAGGCCCGCGCTGTGGAGACAGCAAGATGAAGAAGCAGTGCCCGGAAGGGCGCGGGGTCAGAGAGGCAGAGGGGGCTTAACAACGACAGCAACGTCAAATCGCAATGAGTGAAACAACAGTGAAACCAGGACGGGGTCCCAAGGCAGGACAGGCAACAATGAGCCTTGGCTTAATTTAATGATCCTTCAGGCCCACCCACCTGACACCCATAACAGCGCCAGGACTCCAGTTCCCTTCCACCCACACCAGGAGCCCAGCGTGTTCCCCATTCCACCGCCGGGGCTTCGGTGAGCGCGGCAGAGGCAGTAAGCATCAAGACCAGGGCATACTGGGCCTGGTTGGGCCTGGTAGGAGCAGGATGGGGGCGGGGTGGTCAGGAGGCCCAACACGGTGTCTGGGGCAGGAGGGGACACCATCTCTCCACTGGCTTTCTTATCCCGCCTCCAGTGCGCTGCAATGAAACCGCAACCATGAGACCAGCTTGGCGGGGAGGGGGAGACCAAAGCTGCCAGAAGGGGAGAGTGGAGGTTAGAGGTCAGGGGTGGAGAGAGCTTAGCTGTCACCGGGGCTGCAGTGGGAGGAGCTGCGGGCTCCGGGGAGGCGGGGAGTCGGGCGGAGTTGGGGCGAGCGGGGAAGGTGGCGGAGGCGCGCAGGGGTGGCGCGCTGGGCTGGGCGCTGGCGGCGAGAGGGTTACGCGCCTCTGCTGGGCTCGGCCTGGCCGAGGAAAGCTGGGATCGAAGCCGCCGGAGCCCTGCAGAGAGCCCTGTCGGCCCCGCGCCGCGCCCCGCCCACCCCGCCCCGCAGAGGGCGCGCCCGGGCGAGGCGGGGCCGAGAGGAAAAGGCGCCACCGGAGAATGATGTCCGCGAGCATCGCCGGAGGGAGGCAGAGAACCTTTTGAGTCTCAGCCCACCGGCGCCGAGGCGCTCCCCTCCCACCCGCTAGGCCACCTCTCGCCCGCCCCCTGCCGCAAGCCGAGGCCAGCACCCCGCTCGGAGATGGGCAGACGCGTGGATGGCATGGCTCCCAGCGCCGCCAGATCACAGGAGCCCGGTGCCGGGGCGCTGCGCTGAGGCTCCCACTCGGCGCAGCCCGAGAAGCCTGCAGGTGTCCTTGGCCGCTCGGCCGCCTCCAGGGAGACTCCTTCGCGGGTGCCCAGACCCCATCTCCCCGGAGCAGCCCCGCCCCCCGGGCTCGGCGCAGCCAGGACGCCCCGTCTGAGGCCCCCCTCCTCCCCCAGCGCGGCCCCCGCCGCGCAGCACCCAGCCCAGCGCCTCTCCCAGCCTCTGCCGAGCCGCGGACGCAGGACCCGAGGCTCGCTCCTGCGGGCGCGCTTGTTTTCCTGTCGCCGCCTCGCCCTGCGCAGCCCCCACCCGCCTGATCGCCGCGCTCCGCTCAGCCCCGCCCGCCTTCGGTACCCTGCGCTGGATTTATGAATGAGCGAAAGAGGCCACATGCCGCCGCCGCCGCCTTGTGTTGACCGCACGGAGCCCGGGCCCGCGGAGCTCCGGCTGCCGTGAGAGCGTCGGCCCGGCCCCGGCAGCCGGTCGGAAGACTTGTTGCTGCTGCGCTGCCGCCGCCACCGCGGGGAAGCCGGCCGCTCCCGGGGCTCGGCGCGGTCGGGGAGCCGGAGGGCGGCCCGTGTGAGTGTGAGCGCGCGCGCGCCCCGGAGCCTCGCGGTGCGCCGAGACTGCTCCTCCTCGCCTTTTGGGGGGTAAAGTGGGGGCGTGTCCCGGGCGCCGAGCGTCTGAGTGTCCAGTCCTAGCGGGGGAGCGTGTGTGTGCTTGCCCCTGCTCCACCTCCCGCTTCGGCCCCTCGCTGGGGTTCTCGGCTGTCCTTTACCCCTTCTGCCTCCCTCCCTGGGCTGCCTGCCCAAACCCCAACCACCTGTGCACCCAACTCCTCCCGCTCCGCGCCCCGGGGGGGAGGCAGGGGCAGGGCCACGCCGCAGAGGGGGCTGCCGCCGCCTCCTGCCTCCTAGTCGTCTCCTCCCCCTCCCCCGTCTGACGCTGCCGCCTCGGGAAGGGTGTTTGGAGGGCAGCGGCCGCCCCAAGCCGAAGCCCCGCAGCGCTTTCTTATGATCAGCTCGGTGTGTGTCTCCTCCTACCGCGGGCGCAAGTCGGGGAACAAGCCTCCGTCCAAAACATGTCTGAAGGAGGAGATGGCCAAGGGCGAGGCGTCGGAGAAGATCATCATCAACGTGGGCGGCACGCGACATGAGACCTACCGCAGCACCCTGCGCACCCTACCGGGCACCCGCCTCGCCTGGCTGGCTGATCCGGACGGCGGGGGCCGGCCCGAGTCCGATGGCGGCGGCGCGGGCAGCAGCGGCAGCAGCGGCGGCGGGGGCTGCGAGTTCTTCTTTGACCGGCACCCGGGCGTCTTTGCGTACGTGCTCAACTACTACCGCACGGGCAAGCTGCACTGCCCCGCCGACGTGTGCGGGCCGCTCTTCGAGGAGGAGCTCACCTTCTGGGGCATCGACGAAACCGACGTGGAGCCCTGCTGCTGGATGACCTACCGGCAGCACCGCGACGCCGAGGAGGCGCTGGACATCTTCGAGAGCCCAGACGGAGGCGGCGGTGGCGCGGGACAGGGTGACGAGGTCTGCGACGAGGAGCGGGAGCTGGCCTTGCAACACCTGGGGCCCCACGAGGGAGGCGCGGGCCCCGGCGCCGGGTCCGGGGGCTGCCGTGGCTGGCAGCCCCGCATGTGGGCCCTCTTCGAGGATCCCTACTCCTCCAGGGCGGCCAGGGTGAGTGGCAGGAGCCTGGGCCATCTCTCAGGTCTGCCAGGGGGCCGGGCCGGGGTAGATAGAGGCAGGGAGGATCCTGACCCAAACGGACTGACATTTCCACCACTTCCCTCCCCATTTCCCCTGTTTTCCGTGGGCCCCGGGGGAGCGTCACACCCCCGCCCTCTCCCCTGCACATGCATCAGGAGATGGCACACACTTGACTTACTACTCAGGCCAGCCTGCTTTGCTTTACCCCTTCCCAGCAAGTGGGGGTACCCTGCCTTGGGCTCTTCCCCACCTGCTCTCTGCAAAGGCCCCTGTCTTCTTTCACCCCAGCTCCTCCACGGGGTCAAGCCCTGGAGGAGAGCTGCAGTTAGGCCTTTTGCCCAGGTCAGGCAGGGTTGAGGGGAAGAAAACTAGTGTTCAGCGCCTGCTCTGTGGCGTGTGCGCCCTTGGTTAGCTGCCTCCAGGGGGGCCACCTCATTTAAACCCTCCTGCAGCTCAGAGCTCTAGGAGTGAGGAGTCAGAGAGGGGGACCCGGGCTTCGGCCTCTTCTGCTCATTAAAGGCAGAGCTGGGACCAGTCCCCAGGCCTGTGATCCCAGTTTGGGAGAGGCCTCTTTTCAGGGTGACGAGATGCCTGCCCCTGTGGCTTCCAGGACACCCTGGATGTCCCAGCCTCTGCTGGGGTGAGGGGAGAGTTAGACAGGAAGGGCCTGGTGTCTCTGGGCCCTGCAGGCTCCCACGGCCACTCGCCGGCCACAGGCCGCCTGGTGACGAGCCCAGATTTGTTGCCGCTTCCTCCTGCTGCAGCACTGCTTGGCTTCCCAGAAAGTCCTGGTTCAGGGTTCTGCAGAAATGGGTGTAAGGGGTGGGCGGGGGGGGGGGGGGGGGGGAAACTTAGTCCCTTCCCACCGCTCCCTCCCTGAGTCAAGTCGGTTTCCCTAAATGCCCTCCCTGCGGGGGAAGGGGGTGGTGGGGGAGATATGCTTGGACAGCTGAGAAGCAGCCCTGAAGGATGGCTTTGGACTCTGAAAAAGAGAGCCCTGAGGCTGGTGTCTGATCTGGCAGCCCGAAGCTGGGGTCTGTCTGGGATGCCCTGTGTTGAGCCTAGGGAGGGCCTCCTGCTGTGGAAGCTGGTTCTGTCACCTCTGGCCTCCCCAGTTGTCATGCTAATGAGTCTCAGAGCCCTGCTGCCTGCCCCAGCTGGGCCTCACGCTGGCTGGCCAGGGAAGGAAGAATTTCCCTGCGCACCCCCTCCAGGGGAGGGCGGGAGATGCAGAAACGGGGTGCAGGGCGGGGCCAGGCTGGCCTGCTAAACCAGGGCAGGTAGATCTTCCTCCTGGAAGGCAAGGGAGGAGCAGAGGTCTCAGTGGCCGTGGCAGGCCAGGCTGGGGCTGCAGGTGTCCCAGGGCTGCCCCTGGAAGGCTGGGACCTTCTCCAGGGCTGAGAGTGAAGCTAAGGTCAACTGTCCTTGTTCCGTCCCCTGCAGCTGCCACGCCAGCGCCGAAGGTGAGGGCATGGTCATGCCCCGGCCTGGGTCTGCTGTGAGCTCCCTGAGCCTCTGGTGTCACCCCTTGTCTGTGTGCGCTGGGGGGCAGAGACAATACAGATCATTCAGGCTCTTCCACAGTCGGGGTGGGAGGGGAGGCAGATTTAGCTTGATGGAGATGGGACAAGCCAGGGAGGCCGGGGTGAGATGAGGGGTCAGGGGAGCTAGGCCCTCTTCCTGAGCTCTCCGGGCTCTCGGGGGACTTTGCACCTTCTCAGGTTCTTCCCTCTTGGATTCTAAGGGTCCGTACTATCAGTGAGTTTATTTACTCTTCAACTCACCAGAGACTGGCCCAGCCAGGGGGCTCTGAGTAAGCTCAGAGCCCGGTCAGCCCCTCGAAGTCCTCCAGGAGCCCAGCGTCCTTTGCCCTTCTGGTGTAGAGTCACATCAGCCAGGGCATTCTGGTTAATTTAAGGTGGGAAGTTCGGGGCCGGCCAGGGGTCCCTCTCCCCACTGAAGCGATGCAGAGACCAGGGTAGAGCCGTTCAGTGTCGTGTCAAAGACACCGAACTAAGCAGAGCTGACAACGTGCCGTGGGTTTCCGGCCTTCTGGTCGTTGAGACCGGTGTACGCAGTTGTCTGGGACTTTGGGGGCGCCCCTGCCAAAGAGCCCTGGCCTCTGCGAAGGGGCCCAGGCAAAGGCGGGCCTTCAGCTGTTCCTGGGACTCAAATGAAGATACAGAATTTCTTCTTAATTACCTAATAACTGCTATTTATTGAGCACTCCATGCGTATACTTTTGCACTAATCTCTAATCCTCCCAATACATTTACAGTGGAGGTATTATCCTCGTTTAGTAGATGGAGGCTGTGAGAAGGCAAACAACCTGCCTGAGATCACACAGTGGCGGGCTGTGGCTCAAAGCCAGGGCTCCCGACCCCGAAGCCACCGCCCCTCCCGTTACAACACGTATTTCCCACTAACTGGAGCGGCGGCTCATTTCTCATTCTGCCGTGGGAGGCGTTCTTGAGGGTCTATACCTCCCATGGACGACGTCCGAAAGCCTGGGGCAGATGGTGACATCTTAAAGGCACTTATTCTCTTATGCCTCCAGGCCTGAGGGTCTGAGGAGCAGGGCTCTGGGGCTGGGCCCGCCCCACTCTGTCATCTGGGTCTGTGTGCTGCCTTCCCTGGCAGGGGCCTGGGGCCTGAGGCCGTGCCCGGGGCCGCGGGGTCTCACGGAGGGCCGGCAGGGCTCTGCCTCGGGCACCTCTTCGCCCACAGTGTCTGGTGTGAGTAGTGCACTGTGGCGTGAGAGAACCAGATACCAGCGGGAGGCAAAGCGAGCTGATTGCGGGAGCCTGTTGCCTAGCTACCAGCCCGGCCCAGGCCAGGCAGGGCGTGTGCATCCGTTCCCTGCACTGAGGCTGGGCCCATGGGCAGCGGTGCTGTGCTTCCGTTTCTCTGGTCTGACCTGGGAGCAGGCCCGCGGGGCATGCTGGTCCTGTCCCCACCTGCCCACTGTCCTCAGTGCCAGGCAGAGAGGGGCTCAGCAACAGCCAGGTGGCTTTCCAGTCCCAGAGAGACAGACCAGGGGTGGTTTCGGCAGCATCCAGAGCAGCAGAATCGGGTCTTCGCTCTTTTCTGAGGGTGGACAGGAGGCCTGAAGCCTGGGACCCGGGGCACTTCCCACCTCACGCCCAGTCTGCGGAGGTCCCAGGGGCTGGGCTGGCCTCACTCACTCTTAAGGATGATAGTCCTTCGGCTAAATCAGCACCTGGACTGAGTTTCCCCAGGAGGCTTCCCTTCTACGTCGAGGGCCTGGAGCGCAGGATCCCGCCGCCCCACCGGCAGCTGGAGCCGGGTTTGCACGTTGGTGAAGCGTTTGTTGTGTTGTGTGTTGGGTGTTGTCACCTCTACTTTCTTCGAGTGTCTCACCTGGACTGTGTCAGGCAGGGATTATTAACCTCAGTTTACGGAGAAGGAAACCGAGGCCCAGAGGGGCTCGTTCAAGGTCACCACTCAGTGGTCAGCTAGACCCTAAGCCGGATCTTGAGAATCCACGCCTGCTTTCGCTGCTGCCCAGCGCCTCCTGGGGCTGCTGCCTTGGACGTGCGAGGGCGCCGAGGGGCCCCTCCACTGTGCTGCTGCGCCTTCCCTCACTTCGCCCTCCACGCTAAAGCTCCCGTCTCCTCCACCCCCAGAACTGCCATGTCTGAGCTTGCTCTGTTGTTTCTCACTGTAGGACTTGCACAGGACAAGAAGCAAGGAGACTAGGCATCCCGGGCCCAGGCTGAGGACGGAAACCAAGGCCTCCTAGAAAGACAGTGCAGGGCCCAGTGCTTTCGCCCCTGCTGAAGGCCCTCGGGCCGGGCCTCGCCTGGGACCAGCTGGCTGGTAGGATAACAGGCTTCGGACTGAGGACAGGAGTCACTGGTCCCTCCCCCAGGCTATGGAGAGCCAGCAGGCCGAGCCCAGTGCCGGCCGCCCGGCCTTCTGCAATCCCCCGGGAGGGCAGTGCCGGCAGGCCCTGGGGCAGCTGCTGCGCCCGCTGCGGGGTAGGAGGGGCGCCAGGCCAAGGGCCACAGCCCCCCGCCCCCCCTCGCCTGCCAGGAGGCAGCCTCCATATTCTCCTGGGTTGATTTTGTGTTTTTCTCTCTGGCCCAACATTTGCCTATTGAACATCTTGTCTCCGGATGATGAGGTGTTTCTGTCACTGGTTGGGTTGGGTGTGAAGTGGGGGAGGGGATAACATAAACGTGGGCTATTTTGGAGAGTCAGGGGAGGAGCAGGCAAGGCTGGGCCTTGGGGACAGGCAGCCAGCAGACCCCTCCCTGGCTCCGCAGAGAGCGCTGGCCTGGGATGTTGGGTGCCAGCGCACTCAGGTCGTTCTTGTGCCTGCATGGCCCGCCAGCCACGACCTCTGCCCAGCTCCCTGCGGGGGTTTTTTCCAGGCTGGGTGACAGTTACTGGGCCTCTGGCAAGGGTCCCGTCAGGCAGGAGATGTGGCCACAGAGCCTGAGAGCCCAGGTGCTCAGCGGCATTCCTGGAGGTGCTCCTTCGTCACCTCTGGCCCCAGGAAGAGGGGCTGGCCCGCTCTCCTCATTACAGGCTCCCCGGGCCAGGGGAAGGAGCAGGCAGCTTTCATGGCTCCTCTCTTTCAGAAAACGTTTATTGAGCACTTACTACACCTGACACCAAGCAGGGCTCTGTAAATATGAAGAGTCGGAGACGGGGCTTGTGTCTGAAAAGAGCCAGGTTGGGGTCAGCTGGTGGCAGTTGGGGGAAATTAGGTGACAAGATAGAGCAATGATGAGACAAGATAGATCAGGGGTGGTGTTCCCGTACTCTTCAAAAGTGAAGTTCAGTTGGAGGCAAGAGGAGGAAGTGACGGGGCTGGGGGTGGTGTGCGAGGAAGCTTCCATGAGGAAGTGGAAGGTAAACCGGGGAGGCCCCGCGGGATAATGACTTAGCTCCCTTAGAGAATTTTTAGAAGGAGGCAGGTTATAAATAAATAAGTTTTCAAT